AGTAATTTACAGGAATTTAAAGATGAGGAAATTAACAATATTTATTTTAGTATACAAAGAAACAATTTAAAGGCTGCCCAATTTCTAATGAACTGAGGAAACTAAAAGTTCAAAAAGAAAACAAAAACCAGAAAAGTGAGTGGTCAGATGACAAACATGCAAACAAAAAAACCTGTTCAACAAGGGTTTTAGTTTTCACCCGACACAAAGACTGGGAAAATAGTCAGACCTTTAAGAGCTGCTAAATGTTATCAGGGTAAAACGATCAAGATCTCTAGGGTGATATTATTCTAGGACAGGCATGTCAAACTTGCGACGTCACGTGATGTTGCGCGACGTATCACAACTTTTTTCCCATTACCAGCAATGGGGTGGACGCGGTTTCAGCATGACGCATCCGGCCCGTGGGCCAACAGTTTGACATGCCTGTTCTAGAAGGACTAGGGGTGACATGATAGCAGTGTTCCAATATCTCAGGGGCTGCCAGAAAAAAGAGGGAGTCAAGCTATTATCCAAAGCACCTGAAGGCAGGACAAGAAGCAATGGATGGAAACTAATCAAGGAGAGAAGCAACCTAGAACTAAGGAGAACTTTCCTGACAATTAAAACAATTAATCAATGGAATAACCTGCCTCCAGAAGCTGCCTGAGCAGAGGTTGGACTAGAATCCTCCAGGGTACCTTCCATCACCATCATCATCATCATCATCATCATTATTATTAGACATTGCAACTGATACAGCAGATTTCCTTGGCCTACTAGATGACACCATCTGAAGCATGACCACTCTCACCAGACTGACAAAAGCAACTGGAGACATGCAGTTCCTCAAATAACCAAGCCTATACCAGGAAGTCCCTTTATAAATTATAACTAGCACTTTGAATTGCACCTGAAAGCTAAATGGCAGCCAGCACAGCTCATGTAACAATGGGATCACATAGGCATGAGGCATACCCATCTCTGCCTACATCACTGCATTCTCAACCATGCAGTAGCTCTTGAATAGTCTTCAAGGCCTGGCCCCGTTAGTTTGCCTTGCTGTAATTCATGAGATGACAAAGGCATGAGTCTGAAGAGTCTCTTGGTCAAGGAAACGGCACAACAGCTGTACCAGTGCAACCCTTCCATAGCTGCCACTTGCTCTTCAGTCAGAAGCTGTGAGTCCAAGCTTACCCCCAGATTGTATACCAGTTTCAAATGGGGAAGTACAATCACATTCAAGATCAATGACAGAAAATGTCTACAAGGTTACCATGATCAATGGTATTGAAACCTGCTGAGAGATCAAAGAGCACTATGTTAGATGCACTATTCCGGTCCAGCTCCACTCCAAGTTGACAAGTGCAACCAATGGTGCTCCTGTAACCTGGTTTGGAGTTTCACTGAAACAAGCAGTTCAATTGGATCTATCCAATTTCAATCTAACACCACACAGATTTGAGCAACAACTAATATGTCAGGTAGGAAACAGCCCAATCAATGTTCCTGTGGTTTGTTTTTCCCCGCTGGAAACGAGCTCTTAAACAGGACTACTAGATACCTAACAACTCACCTTGAAGACATAAAACCTGAGTTGAATATCCTGTCCTATTTTAAATAATGTAAAGTGAGTTTCTTAATTATTTCAGATGGTTATTATTATGACAAAGATGTTGCATGTATATTTCAGAGAAAATATATTTCCGAGAACGTATAATGAGAATTTTTTTGTTTTTATTTTGTAATTGTCTTATTGCAGTTTAGGAATTAGATCATTAACTGTTATAGTTTGGAATTATTCTAATATTGTTATATTTACAGCTGAAATCAACAGGATCGTTAATAAGATTCTAGATCTATCACTCCATTAAAGCTGCAGATATTTGGAAGATCTCTAATGTTTCAATGAATATAAATATATCAAGAATTGCAGACTTTCAGCATGGGGCCTGGTTAAAATAATTATTATACTTTTTTTTTTGATAAAGTGCTAAGGAACAATATCTTTTTGTTATCAATGCTCTGTTTGCAATATAATTTTGAGGACTTTTGCCTTATGTTTTCTTAGTATAATTGATTTTGATGTTTGATTATTTTGTTAATATGATTAGAGGTATGTACCTTATACTTTTTTCTTTTCTTAATTAGACTAATAGGGTTTCTTTTTTTAAAAAAAAAAGTGAGAGTAACCTCATCCAGAACAAACTTATTATGTTTCCTGGATAGGGTTGCCAGGTGTCCACTATTTGAGTGGACAGTCCACTTTTTTCACATTATGTTCACTATTTTTTTTCACAAAATAGTGGACATTTTTTATTCAAAAGCTTTATGATGAAATGGTACGTAATCTAAAGCTGTACAGTCTACTTTTTTTACTACTTAACCACACACCACCACCCCGCTTGTCCGCTATTTTTGGGAAGCAGACCTGGCAACCCTATTCCTGGATTTAGGAACCAGATGCTCACAGGTGACCTTCCTACAAGAATTCAAATTTAATTTATTGGTATTTTTCCAGTTCACCATTAAATCCAGACACCATCCAAAGACCTGCATGGATAGTCTCCTGATTTATATGTAATATGAAAAATAAAGCTGCTTGTCTAGAACATATAAATTGCTTATACTTCAAATTTCCTGAAATGATTTCCTGTTGCTTTGTATAGATATTGAATTGCACTGGCTATGAGATGGCCTTTCTCTCAGTGCTGTTTGTTGTGATCAGCCATACAGTAAAGTTTCCCTTACTCACAACTAATTACATAAAATACCATGGCCAGTGATATTAAAAGTTGCTGAGAGACAAACAGTAATAGGACTGGACCATCCCTGCTTTTCTGGTACAGTCAGAAATTATTTCCTCCAAGAATAACCACAGGTAGACCAGCCACATATTTAGTCTGTTGCGGGAATCCACGATAGTTTGTATACTATGGTGTATAGCTTAGTCCAGTATTTGAAACTTCACTATTTCAATGCACTAGCAAATACTTCCTTTTATTTCTCATGTTGTTCAAACAGCACTGACTCTCAAAGGATACTAACTAATAAGAAAGAAAATACTTTTAATGAAACTATTTAAAGTAGGATTTTTAAAAGGCATCTACAGCATGATATTGAAAACTATTTCTTTAAGCTCTCTCCTAAACTCAAGCTGTTTTCAATGTCAGTTCAGGCTCCATTAATTGGGTAAATAGAAATGGAAGCTTTGTAATAGTCTCACTAGAGTTACCCACCAATGCGTTTTGTTACGAAATTTAGCTAGAAAAAATAGCTAATTGCTCAGAATGCCTGGACACACCTCTAGAACAGGCTCTGTTTCCCTTTATCCTCTCTCCTAGAGATAATCTGCAAAAGAAGAACAATGTGTACCCAGATTATATTGCTGGTTAACTCCCTGGAGACGTGATATGGGATCAGTGTACTTTGGCTTTCTGTTCAATAGGACTATCTTTGAGCTCTATGTTGCAAATAAAGGCAAACATTACAAAAGGCTTGTAAACTTTTATCCATTTCAATCTAAAGGGAACCGACTTAAGTAATCCCTAGAACAGTGGTGGCGAACCTATGGCACGGGTGCCAGAGGCGGCACTCGGAGTCCTCTTTGTGGGCACATGTGCTGTTGCCCCAGCCTTGCCTCCCCCCGTGACCCCTTCCTCACCAGCAGCCCCCCTGGAGGAAAGTTGCCCCCAAGCGTGGCCCACGCGGAGCAGCGCAGCCAAGGACATGACAGCCAGGCAGCATAGACAAGACTCTGCCCTCACACCTCATCGTGCACAGTTGATGCTGGGCACAGGGAGAGGGAGTGGCCGCCATGGCGCTGCTGGGCTGCCTGGGCAATCTGTGGCGGGCCCTGGAGGCAGTGAGTGGCCCTGCGGGCAGGCGGGGTGGGGCAGAACAGGGGTGGGGCAAGGGGTCGAGTGGGGGCGGGGCCAGTTTTTGGGCACTCGGTCTCTAAAAGGTTCGCCATCACTGCCCTAGAACTTCTCCAGTAATTAATTTATTTAATTACTGTAATGAATCTTATATTCATTACCCAGATGTTTGGGGATTGCAATTTTCAGAATATTCAACTACCACAGGAAGGCTGGTCATATACAACTCATCAGATACATACTCTTTTTGCAAAATTAGCTTTTCCAACCTGTCATTCTCCAGCTAATGATGAAGTATTTTTACAGGTGGGATTGGGTGGAAAACAATTATAATAAATAATAATATTTTTTTAAAAAAAAAATTGCCACAACAAAATATCAAAGTTCTTATATTTTTATATCAACTTTTATCAATTTGGCATTTTATAAATGGGCTGAAGGTGCAATTCACAGAATTTTTAGAAACTAGGAATTCTGGGAGTTGCTGTTCAGCCCACATATTGAATACAAGTTAAGGCAGGCTACTTTAAAGTACAAAGAATGTTAAATCATTACTGGTTTCACATTGAAAAAAATGAGGTAGGAAGATTCTAGGCTTGACCCTATCTTGAAAGCCAAATATTAATTATACGCTTTTAAAATTTATTTTTAATTTAGTTTTTTAGCATTTGGTGTACATAGCCAGAGAAGCCTACCCTGCTTTGTACCATAGAATAGTTCTGGCAGCCTAAGATTTCTTGTATATTTTGTTCATGCAACTGCTGTCTAGTTGTGTTCGTGGTTGTCGGGTCATCCGGGCTTTCTTCCATCGACCTTGCCTCGCATCTGAGCAGGACTGGCACTAATCTTCGTTCAGGTTATCAATCTTTTTTTAAAACTATAACTGTGAAATATTTTTTTTAAAAGTGATTGAGTGAGGAAGTGTTCATCACGTCTTATCAAAACATGCTGTGCCTTGTACTGCCCAACGGAATTGTAATTCTGCATTTCGTATAGAATTTATTCACCATTTTATTTGTAATACTTATTGCAGACTTGCATTAACAATGGTGACACCAGCAAGATGAGAGAACTGCATGTAAGCAACATCACTGACTTCGGTATCTTTCTTTCTTACAGTTTTGGCAAAGGAGAAATTTGTGTAGAAAAAGCGTTATCTACATCTCTCATTGCTCCAGAGAATTTTTCAAATATATTAAAATAATAAAATAAACTTTATTTAAATAATTAAATTATAATTACCCAGTGTACATACATCCTTAAATATATAGAAAGGCTGATTTAACATACAACATACATTTCATAATTGCATATACAATTTAGTAGAGTTTTCATTCATTTTGCATAGATTTGATCCATGATTATAACAAAATTCAAGCTCAGTCCTTGTAAACAAGACAGTAAGCAAAAGTATAGATAAAATCTAATCAAATGTTTTACATGAGGTAAACCATGGTTTTGAAAGTGTAGGCAGTCCTGGGGCTGGATATAGGAATAAAAAATGAATAAGAGACAAGAATTTGTGCAGATAAAAACTTCACATCAGTCAAAACCTGAGGGAGCATTGAACACCAACCAGAATGCTTTCTCAAAGCACTGAATATTTCATAGCATCTCTGGGATAGCATCCTTTCTTCCTGCTTACTTTGGCACAAAGTTAACCTACTATCCATTTTTAGAAGACATGGCCCCAGGACACAACCTTTGTCTCTAATCTTTTATTGCTGAAGATTGTACAGATAGTCCTTGTTTACTAACCACAAGTGGGATTGGAAACTCAATTCTTAAGTGAAGGAGCCCCTAAGTGAAATTGCACCTGGCTCATGGTCTTACTTTAGCCTTCTTTTGTTTTTGCAAAAGTCGTAAATATCAGAACTAGTCATAAAATTACTTTTCCATTACCATCATAACTGTGATTGGGCACTCAATGAAATAGTCACTAAATGAGGACTATCTATAATCTCTGTCCCAAGGATTTCAGGCAAAGGTAATTGCTTAGTGCTTAACTAGAGAGCATCTTATTTTAGCTGCACATGTAGAAATTTATCTGCGTTTTGCCAAGATAGACCAGAGATTCCCTTACAGATATGTCTCTGACAAGCAAAAAAACCCCTCCATCCAGCAATTCCTCATTTTAAAAATACCACATAATATACTCATAATTATTCCATACTGTTAAGAGACACCAGTAAATATTTTGTGTATAACATGTTTTTTAGAAGCTAAACTAACCCATTGCTTTTGTTGTTCTGCAATCTTTTCTGCCAAACATTTTATTACAATAGGGTCCACTTTTGAGTCAAACTTGTTGGCAAACCAATGCCCGTAGTTGAGGAGCCATCTTAGTTCTGCAGCTCCATAGATGCACACGCTTCGAAGATGTATACCAGTGCAGGGAGGATAGAGATTGTTCTCATTGTAGCCCCATTTTACTAAACGGGTTTTGCTCTGAAGATCTGTGATATCATGAGCTTCTCTTGAAATCTCTCCAGGTACTCCAGGTATACGAACAAGAGTTGCCCAGAAATGTTCATCAGGTGAATAAGTATCCTTTGACCATTCCAAAAAATCTTGAACATGGGAATTGCCAAGAATATACTGTACAAAAGCTCGACATAAAACGAAGTAGGCACTGCCTACAAAAACTTCAATATTGTGTGGAGGTGGACGCTTTGAAATATAAGTTTTTATTGGCATCTTCATATTATTTTTAAGTTCGTAGTGATAGATAAATCTTTTTTTTTTATAATTGCTTGGTCTGATAGTCTCCAACATGTTATTTCCATTAAGTCTCTTAAATTCATATACCAGCTCAAAGTTTGATCTCAGGGGGAAATCTTGGCCACACAAATTAATTACATACTTCCATGGAACTGCAGATTTCAATAAATCAGATAAACAATTCAAATCTGCCTGCAACCTTGAAATGTAGGCATACTCAACCACTTCCAATTTGGATGCAATGAATATATTGGAGAAGCATTTTGCCAGATTCTCCAAAGCCTGTTTGAAAGTGTTAGAAGACTTTTGATCATAATGAATACAGTAGACATTCTGAGTACTATATATTGTATGAATGAGCCGCTCAACCATTATGGCATCTTTGTGAACAACCAGAGAATAAGCTAAAGGGAATTCTTCCTCTTCTGGTGAAACGGCCTTTAGGTGATATTCTCTAATTTTTTGGTATTCCTGGCAATTACTGGTCATTGCTACAACATCTTCATCTTCTAAATCAATAATCTTTTTTCCCTTTATTGCTAAAGACTTCCCAATCTCCGTGGGATCTTGATTATAGATGGAGAAACAATTAATTTTATCTTGGCCAGATTTTTTTTCATAGCTATACTTGTTTTTCACAAATGATGAGGTACTTAATAATGGTTCTACAAAGTACCTATCTTTGTGAAAGAATAAAATCCAATCAGCTTTGAGGAGTTTAAGCAGCAAGAGCAGCACAACTGTTAAAAACAGTATTAAAACACGCAATCGTGTTGGACAAATATATTTGGATTTCTTCATTCTGTGAAAAGAAAGAATCAAAGGCAAATTAAAGACCATTCTATATGTTTGTAATCGATACAAAAGTTAGCCACATAACTATTTCAGGGATAACATAGACTGTTCACCGCCCTGAGTCCCGTAAGGGAGATAGGGTGGTATACAAATCTAAATAAACAAACATAAATGCATTTCCTTGTATTTCTCTCCTACGATCGCCAGCAAGAGCCTATAAATGCATTAACACCTTAAAAAAGGTTTGTTTTCTTGATTCAAAATTTTCTAGTCTCACCTCAGGAATGGATCATCTATGATCTCCTTGGCCAACTCTTTTCCTTTGCTTTCTTGCCATACTTTCTCTAAGTATCACTGATCATAACTGCCTCTTCTCCATCCCATTTAGCAGAAGTGACCTCTCACCTTCCCTATCAGAAGCTGCCTCAGTTGCTCCTACAAGAGTGAAAAATGATTTCAGCATGCCTATATTACAGAATACAAAGTTTCATAAAATCAATTTTGGAGTAAATCCCGCCCAAAATATTACAGAAAATAATGTTAGATAGACAGTCAAGAGAACCAGTTTGGTCTAGTGCAGGGGTAGGCAATCTTGGCTCTTTTATGACTCGTGGACTTCAACTCCCAGAATTCCTGAGCCAGCTGTGCTGGCTCAGGAATTCTGGGAGTTGAAGTCCACGAGTCATAAAAGAGCCAAGGTTGCCTACCCCTGGTCTAGTGATTAAGGCACCGGGCTGGAAAGTAGGAGAGTGTGAGTTCAAGTCCCGCCTTAGCTATGGAAGCCAGCTGGGTGACTTTGGGCCAGTCACTCTCTCTCAGTCCAATGACCTCACGAGGTTGTTATGGAGGAAATAGGAGGAGGAAGGTATGCTGGATACGCTCAGTAGCTTGAGTTATTTGTGAAAATAATAAAGACAGGATACAAAATAAACAAAATAAAAATGAGGAGTGTACTATTCACTTTGTGACAACTACTAGGATCTTGTTGATTGGTTCTAGTATGTCTTAAATGTTAAAAATAGACACAACATTCCCAGCTTTTCATTCTGTCCTGTCCATCAATGGTGGTGGAGGCTCCTGAAACCTGTCAATGGCTCTGATGTTATTGTGAGACAAGGAAGAGCAATAGCAATAGCACTTAGACACATACCGCTCCATTGTGCTTTACAACACTCGTTGACCGGTTTACAAATATCAGCATATTACTCCCAACAACCAGGGTCCTCATTTTACCTTGGAAGGACCCAGATTATTGGGGGATGAATGGAAGGATGGAATGCTGCATCAGGATCAAACTCCTGGCTGTGGGCAGAGTTTGCCTGCAATACTACATTCTAACTATGTGCCACCATGCCTCAAGAGAGGAAGAAAGTAAGAGAATAAATGATCACGAATGATGGCAAATATACGTGTCCGAGGATAATGTTGCAGGATCCAACCTCCCAGTAACCGACCCAGATTGGATCCTGCAGAATAAATAGTGTAAGTTGCACTTTGTAATGAGCCACAACTCCCATTATTCCTAGCTATTGGCCATGCTGCTAGAGATAGTAAGTTGCAGTCTAAAATTTCTCAAAGGCATTAGATTGGGGTAGGATGATTAAATTAATCTTTCCCTTTATTTGTGATCTGCCAATAACAATAAACATTTCTCTTTGTTTATTGTTTTGAAAAAATGCAAGCCATAGTATGACATAAACCGAGTCCCTGAGTTAAATGTATCATTTTGGGACACATCTAGGTAATAATGTGAAGGATTTTAAAAATGCATTGGAAATTATTTATTTATTTTTATTTATACATCACATTTGAAGACTGCCCATCTCACTCATAGAGCAACTGTGAATGAAACTTTGCTAAAAATGGCCATTTCCTGACCAAATATACGCAGCGCTGCTCATTCTTATTGTATCCACTCAACATCAAAGAAGACTGCAATTGCTGTTTGTGGGAGGTGGTGTTTTTTTTCATTTTATGACTTTACATAAGCTGAACCCAGATCAGATAACAGGGTGTAGCTGATTCTGCATGATATGAAATCCCCTAAGGACAGTCAAACTTGATTTAATTCTTCAGTGGGACACAATCAGATGATGCCAGAGGGGTGGGCTGGCTTGTAATGTTGGAAAAAAAAAACCCATTCTGGAATAAGACAATTGCAACCTGAGGATGTTATTACCTTGATATCAGTTATAGTTTTGAATGATTTCCATATAGGTAGTCCTCGACTTACTGTATGATCACAACTGAGTCACAAATTTCTGTTGTTAAGTCAGATAGTTATTGAGTTTTGCCCAGATTTTATGACCTTTCTTGCCGCAATTGTTAAGTGAATCATTGAAGTTGTTAAATTAGTAACAAGGTTGTTAAATGAATCTAGCTTCCCCATTGACTTTGCTTATCAGAAGGTTGCAAAAAGAGATCATATGACCCCGGGACACTGCAACCGTCATAAACATGAACCAGTTGCCAAGCATCTGAATTTTGATCTTGTGACCTTTGTGATGCTGCAATGGTCATAAAGTGTGTAAAATGGTCAAAAGCCAATTTTCAGTACCGTTGTGAATTTTGAGTATGTATGTACGTATGTATGTATGTATGTATATATGTATGTATTTATAATTCATAGTTCTTAACCATCCATCTCCCTCAGACAAAGGGCTCTGGGCAGTGTACAATATAATCTAGTATTATTCTAGTATATTCCCTATTTTATTTAATGAGATGCATTGTTTCTTACAAAAAAGACTTAAGAATAAAATGGCCTGACATAGAGATGCTTGTAGAATAATGGCTAAGCATTAATAATCTAAAATTGTGCTTATGCATTCTCTTCATTTTCTGAAAACCCATTGCTATACATATGGGCTATAACATTTGTTCAAAAGATATATTATCCACTTGTGGTCCCAAAAAAGCTTTGTATATAACCATAAAGCCTGTACAATAACTGCAATTTTTAGTTTTCAGAAAAGAAAGCTTCTTAAAGGCATGGGAAAATAGCCATATTAAATATGGTTAAATTTATTTTCCCCAGTTTCTCATGTCAGGCGTATCACTCAAAGGACAAATGTAGATTTAAACCTGAAAAATGTTATGTATTGCTATTGAAAAGATAGATTTGTGGCAAACCTGTCCCAATTATACTGCATTTAGAAATAACTTTATAAAAAAGGGGGAAAAACCACCATGTGCACATAGCAAAATCCAATCCAATATTCCCCCTCTAATATATTACGTGCCTGTGCAAAAGTTATCAGTAAAGAAACCCAAACAACTGATCAGATCCTCTCTAATTTGTTGAAATAGACCATTCTAAAACACATAGTCAGCAGAGGATAAACATACATGGGAATTGGCAGTATAATGGCTTGTTCAGCAATGTTCAGAAAGAAAGTATTGTTCAGTCTTTATTCAAAATCTGCAACAAGCTGAGCACTTTGACCTCAGATATACTGATGTGTGAATAAAAAGTAAACCAAGTTAATGTTTGACTGATTCTGGAATAAATGTTGAATATAATCATATGTTTGTAATGAGAACAAAGCATAATGAGGCTACCTCTTTCTTTAAAGCACAAAAAGCCTGGATTTAACTGTAAGATACAGAATTTTAACCTTAGAGTATGTAGAGACATCAGGACAGAATTCAAAGATGATGAGATATAGCTGATAGGACACCTAGGCCCTCCAGATGTTCCTGAACTACAACTCCCCTCATGATTTGCCACTAGTCAGGCTAGCTAGATCNGCTAGATCTAATCTACAGGTAGTCCTCGACTTAGAACAATTCATTTAGTGACCGTTCAAAGTTACAATGGCACCGAAAAATGTGACTTATGATCATTTTTCACAGTTACAACCTTTACAGCATCCCCATGACCATGTGGTCAAAATTCAGATGCTTGGCAAGTGGTTCATATTTATAACCGTTGCTGTGTCCCAGGGTCATGTGATCACTTTTTGCGACCTTCTGACAAGCAAAGCCAATGGGGAAGTCAGACGCACTTAACGAATGAGTTCCTGACTAACTGCAGTGATTCATTTAACAACTGTGGCAAGAAAGCTTGCAAAATGCAGACAGCTGGTCATTTGCATTCTTTTAGAGAATTATTGAGGCCACTTGGAAGAGGGGTCAAAGAGGCCATCTATGTCAAAACTGAACAGCCCTCTCTCAACAGAGGGGCAGGGATTTGACATCATCTATCTCCAATCTACAACACAGTCCTTTCAACAGTTCCAAGAAGGCTCGACACCCATTTGCACTACACAGGGACCCTGAGGACACCAGATAAACCTCCAAATGGCCTCAATGACTCTCTAAAAGAATGCAAATGACCAGCTATCTGTAAGGTATATAAATCCTTCCATTCCCCATCATCTAGTCAGAGCTGAAGAAGCTACTTGGATGAGAAGCGAAACGTCTTTAAAGAAAAAACAAGAAAGTTCAGTTGCTTCTTGAAAAAGCACCTTTGGGACAGTACTGAAAAAAGTGACATGACTGCACTTACGACTGTCGTAAATGTCCCCAGGGTTATGTGATCCAAATTTGGGTGCTTGGCAATTGGCATGTATTTATTATTATTATTATTATTTATTATTATTTATCAAATTTATACCCCGCCCTTCTCCTAACGGACTCAGGGCGGGGTATAAATGGTGATCATATGATCCTGGGACAGTTGCAGTGTCCCAGGATCATATGATCACCATTTGTGACATTCCCAGCTGTTTTCCAACAAGCAAAATCAATGTGGGAAGCTAGATTCACTTAATAACCATGTGATTCACTGAATGACCACGATGATTTACTTCATTACTGCAGGTTATACAATTGGCATGACTCACTTAACAATTGCCTTGCTTAGTGATGGAAAGTCCAGTGCCAATTGAGGTTATAAATTGGGACTACCTATACATATTATGTATCTATATGACTTACAACAAAGCAGACGTTCAATTGAGACATTGTTTTTAATAGGCAGCCAGATTTTTTATATGCCTGCAACATACTATCGTAGCAAACGATCATGGATCCTCAAAAAATTAGGATACTTACAGTAGCTCAGTTCTGCCAACTTATTTAAAACTAAGAAACCTATCATGGCCACATTGGAGCCTGGTTCAGAGGAGGAGGGGGAATTGGAACCAGGACTGTCCAATAGGGATGGCACATCTTCCTTGCCATGTTTGGAGCAGCCAGGGGCTGAGGACGATGCTGTCCCAGGTCCCCTCAGCCATCGGGGGAAGTGGTCAACTGGACAGGGAGCTGCCTGCCTTCACAGACACAGGAGAGGATTGGCTGCTGATAGGCATTGGTGCTGACAGGCAGCAGATCTCTGATGAGAAACACCTGTCTCCTCCACTTGATCCAAGGGCATGGAGAGCAGAGGGGAGGCAAGTTCAGAGAAGGCCTGCAAGGCTGCTCGGGAAGAGGTCACCCCACCCCTCCTCACAAGGAACACCTGGAATGAAGTGACTTAAGGAGAAGCCGTGGGGAGTTGGTCTTTGCCAGGAACAATTGTTTATTTTGGATTACACTCCCCCGGCTTTGATTCCTGCTTTTATCCTTGCTTCGAGGACTGCTTTTCATTTTTGCTTTGAGGACTGCTGCTAGCCTTGTGGACTGCTTTGCTTTACCTTCAAAACTGCCTTTACCTTGTCTTTTCCCTGAGGACTGCCATTTATCTTATGCCTGGACTTTGTGGACTTTCCTGATAATATATGGGCTCTGTTTGAGCGTGGGGTGAAGCCTTATTGGTCTTTGGAGGGTTGTTTGTTGAACACTTTTTGAGGGCTATAGAGGACTCTCTAAAGGCCTGCCTTGCCTTGACCACTTGGATCATAACAAAACGAAAGAATATTTCTTTGGTAAATATCTGCATTAAAGGGATTTAAATGAAATTTCCCTTTTTCTGCCACTCTTTTCTTCAAAAATAATTTCTTAATGCTAAGGGCTTATTGGTAAGAAAGTATGAAGGCATTTTCCTTCTCCATTTTCCCCTGCCTTTTAGAAAATTTTCTTATATGAATAAATGGTAGAAAGGATCATTATAGCAACTGGTGAGTCATGCTACCAACTGCTATCATATCACTCACATTTCATAAGTGCAAGCGCCTCTGGTAAATTTTGCCTTGTTTTGTCACAGTTCTAATTATGCTATCAACAAAGACTTCAATCTTCACGCAGTATAAGAAAGCTTAAAATGTTACAGATTTTTCTCCATAGAAGTAACTTCTGGAAATAAAAAGCAACCCATATGATGTATATATTATTGTCATATGTGATTAATCATGTATCAGTTCTTCGCAATTTCTTACATTGAGGTAATAATTTGAAAGAGGAAAATGCAAATATAATAAGTTTATTACTACAAGATCCCTTGGAGTTAGTTTTAATGGAATGTTTTATCACTAACAGATTTTACTTTAGTAATCTAGTACAGATAGATTCATTTACAACAGTTCATTTAGTGACTGTTTGAAGTTACAACGGCACTGAAAAAAGTGACTTGTGACTGTTTTTCACACTAATGACTGTTGCAGCATCTCCATGGTCACCTGATCGAAATTCGGATGCTTTGGCAACTGACTCATATTTATGATGGCTGCCATGTCCTGGAGTCATGTAATCACCTTTTATGACCTTCTGACAAGGAAAGTCAATGGGGAAGCCAGATTCATTTAACAAATTAGTTACAACAGTGTTACTAACTTAACAACTGCAGCGATTCACTTAACAACTATGGTAAGAAAAGTCGTAAAGTGGGGCAAAATTCACTTAACAAATGTTTCACTCAGCAACAGAAATTTTGGGCTCAATTGTGGTCGTACGTCGAGGATTATCTGTAATTTTTGCTCTATTAACTGAAATTTGGCACTTTCAATCTTGCCCTGTCCCCTAACTCCCTATTTAATATACTGATTACACCAGACATGTCAAACACAAGGCCCGGGGGCCGGATGCGGCGCGCAAAGTGGTTTCATGTGGCCCGCGAAGCCATCCTGGAAACAGTAAGGGAACGGCCCCCGCTGCCTTGGCCCTGGCCCAGGCCAGCCAGGAGTTAATGTACAATTTTGTAGTGGCACCACTATCCAGCCCCCCCCCCCGCATGGCTCAAGAGGAACAGTGAGGCTCCTCCGTGGACCATGCCTTGGCACTTGCCCTGGTCCCACCCTCTTCTGCCAGAGACCCTCAGATCTGTCCCACTCCTGCCCAGGCCTCCACAGGCCCCCTTGACGCAAATGATGTAGAGCTTGCCACGCCCACCCAGTAAGCCTCCCACCCCGAGGGCAACCGCAATGCTTATGAGGCCCTCAATGAAATTGAGTTTGACACCCCTGGACTACACTTTCAACCACAGATCCATCAGACTAGACCAGGGGTAGGCAACCTTGGCTCTTTTATGACTCGTGGACTTCAACTCCCAGAATTCCTGAGCCAGTCTGCCCCCATGGATGGAGGCTTTTCCATGGTTGCCCCTCTCTTACTTTCTGTCATTTCTTGCAGAGTTTAATCGGACTGTAAAAAAATCTTTTACTTACAAGTGGCCCCTACTTGATATGTTTTAAAGATTAGTATGATATAATCCTGTACGTGTCTATTCAAAACTAAATTCCATTTCTGTATTTCTTACTCAGAGGTTACCACCAGTATACATAGTCCTTGTTTCTTAGGAAACTACTAAGCTACATACTTTTAAGCTAAAGGTTTGTTGCCTGCAAATAGCTTATTTGTTAGGACCATGTTTCTTTCAACTTAAAATCTTACACATATAATGGAGCACAACTCTGCAAATGATCATCATCTGTGCTTGTTAAATCATGTTTTTATTGGCAACATCAGTTGTTATTTCATTATGGTTTGCATAAATCTAAAGGTGTGATTCATAAAGTTTTATTACACGAATGGAAGACTATTCAAATATTAAACTGTAACATGCAGTTCACTACTGTTGAGAAATGCAACACTATTGGGACAAGGAGATACCACTAAGTTCTGTTTTGAGGGACTAAAGTAATCAAAATTATTAAGATGTATATTTTTATTTATTAAGCTATGAGTGCATTAATGCTCTATGAGCTATAAGTCATGAAAACCTATCCCTTTTAGTAAAACTAGTTTGAAAAGATGCTATCAGACCCTGGATTGAGATTCTGTGATTTTGGAGGGGAAAAAAAACCTGGAAAAAATGTCCAAAAGTTCTTCTCCAAAGACAAAAGTAGTAGTTTTTATTTCTTTGTTTATTATACAGTTGAGTATCCAAGCTATGAAGTGTAAATTGTTTAAAATATGTTTTAACTTTATTTACAAATTATAAATTACAAAAAAATGAAAAAGTGCCCAAATGCACTAAAATAACCCACATAATTAAGAACGTTTAAACTTAAAAGAAAAAAAAATAATAGAATCCCCCCAAAAAGGAAGAGTAATTTTTTTTAAAAAAAACAAACAACCCCAAACTAAGAAAGAAAAAAAATACATTTTTGAGAGAGAAGCAAGCCAGCACATGAGATTCTAATGCATGGGTGTCAAACTTGCCACGTCATGTGACATGTCTTGACGTATCATGACGTTTTTTGCATTGCCAGAGCTGGGATGGATGCGGTCTCCATATGATACAACTGGCCCGCGGGCCGACAGTTTGACACCCCTGCTCTAACGGATCAACTTTAGCTATGACTTCACATGCCATCCAAACATAACTGATAAAAGGGTGTGTATGCTCAACCTCATATACAATTTTAAAATTTACATTATAATATTACTGTGTTTAAACCATGTGCAGTATGTCCATACTTTAATTAAAATAAAGGCAATAATGTTGTTTAATAATTTAAAAGATTGATTACAAACATACAAATCTACATCTATAATACACTTATCAATAGTTACTGGTTTACTAACAAGTGCCATACACTACTATAACATGATCGGTTCGAAATATTATTGTAAAATATCACGTAGTAAAGCATATACATTAACACATTAAAAGAAAAATAAAATGTGAAACACAAAGTACATTTCAGCAAGTTTTATATTCAAGAGTTTTAAATATCTTTTGGAATTTTCTTTACCTTTTCCCCCACTTTGTTTAATGTATTATAGGAAATTGTGCAGTCACCATCTGGTTTAGTGGATTATATCAGCATAGTGTTTTTACCTCTTTCTATTACTTGCACCAATACTATATTATTGTCAGATGTCTCTGATTAAAAGTGCTTTATCAAATATGTAGCTATCTTACATGAAGAAGAAAGAGCAACATTTCTCTCTGTGAAGAGAAAAAGAAAAAGAAGTTAAGATATTTTAAAATTTACAATTCCATTCTTGCTTTCCTGTCTAAGCAATTCTGTACTAAACAAGAAGTATTTTATATTTCTATATCATGGGAGAGGTAGCATAAACTTAACTTTGTGGTTATTTTGTGTAATATAAATATATATATATATATATAAACATGAATATGTAACTATTCACCATGATATTTTTTCTCAGCTGCCATATATATTTAATTTTGTACTACACTGTAATTATTTCTAATTGTTGGATGATTTTTCCACCACCCAGAGCCACTTGTTGAAGATGGGCAGCAATAGAATTGAAGAAATAAAACAGCACATTGTAACATAAACAACAGAATTAAAGAACAGACATTTTAAGACAGCTGTTTGAATAACCAGGATTTATTTACACAGCAACTGAGCACAATTAATTTCAATTGCCCTGTATTTATCTTTTATTTCACGTCATTGCATATGGCCTAAGGCAAGCAAATAAATCTTGCTAAACCACTGGCTTTTTCAATTAATGGAGAAAACATGCACAGAGATGAAAATCATTACTACCAATTAGTAAAAAGAGAGTGGTTTCTCGTTTCTATCATGCTTCAGATACACATATGCCTATATGCAAAATATTTGCTACATTATATTGCTATCATGATAATGAAAACCTATATCCATTTTATCCCTTTTTATAACTAAACTATTTACCCACTAGAATGATCGGAGACACTATTTGTGCCTGTTACTTGCTAAATATGTAGTGGAATATTACAGCAATGGTTCTATGAGAAAAATATGTTCTATGGTATCTCTATACTGATTCATATTATTCTATAAATCTGTATTTTAGACCAAAACATTCATCTCATACCCAAACAATAACAAATAAATCACAATAAATATTTTTTTTTAAATCATCACCACTGAGAGTATTTCTACAATCATCTCTTCCATCCAATTAGTGAATATCCACTGTTAGTAATAAGCAGAATTATTAATGACTACAAATTTGGGACAGCATAACACTTTAACTTCAAACAATTTTTAAATTTAGATAAATGCGTTTAAGCATATTTTTCTAAGTACAGTTGCAATGTAAAAATGATGTCGACAGAAAGAAAACATATTTTCTTTGTGACTGCATTTAGAAAACACAATAAGCTCCCCCCATAAACACACACACATACCCCTCAACAACAGGGCTGGAAAACAAGCCACCAGGATGTTCTTGCTTAATATGCTCAGCATATTAAGAGAATACTTGAAGAGAATACTTGAGAGAGAAGCAAGCCAGCACATGTGACTCTAATGGATCAACTTTAGCTATGACTTCACGTGTCATTCAAACATATCCTATAAAAGTGGGTGTGCATGCTCAATCTCATATATAATTTTAAAATGTACATTATAATATTACTGTGTTGTACAGTATGTCCACACTTTAATTAAAATAAGGGCAATTATGTTGTTTAATAACTTAAAAGACTGATTACAAATATACATGCAATCTTTGTAACAGCAGTCTAAAATAGCAGCTGTCATATAACCACAGTTTGAATAGAACTTCATGTACTGTAGATAACTCAGAAAAAATAAGTAAACAAAACTATGGTAGATCTGTGGTGAATCTGGAGCATGGGAGGACATGTTTATTTGCAGTAATGAAGTATTTACATTCTGAATTCGAAGCTGCTACAGCAGGAAGCAATATTTTCCTACAGTTGCTCTAGATGTTGAATCTTGTTATTCAGAACTGACAGAGTTGTTATAATACTAAACATGCCAGCCATTTCATTCAAGACAAGCTTCTACAATTCTTATCACACAGAGCTGATCAGTTATAACTTTACCTGATCTTTGTCATATAACTGTCCTTTGAACTGAACAATGCAACCAAGCTATAAGTAATCAAAGTTTAATCTATTAACAACTAAGTATACATAGTTCCAGGTACAATAAAGAGACTTTTAATTTTTCTTCAGGACAATCTTGATCACAACAGACAGATCAAAATAAAAACTAAGGCAAAGACTTACTGATAATAATACAGGTAGTCCTCGACTTATTATCACAACAATAATAATAATAATAATAATAATAATAATAATAATAATAATAATAATAATAATAATAAAGTTGGAAGGGACCTTGGAGGTCATCGAGTCCAACCCCCTGCCCAGGCAGGAACTCTACACCATTTCAGACAAACGGCTGTCCAGTCTCCTCTTAAAAACTTCCAGTGTTGGAGCATTCACCACTTCTGGAGGCAGGTTGTTCCATTGGTTAATTGTTCTAACTGTCAGGAAGTTTCTCCTTAGTTCTAAGTTGCTTCTCTCCTTGATCAGTTTCCACCCGTTGCTTCTCGTCCTGCCTTTAGGCGCCTTGGAGAATAGCTTGACTCCCTCTTCTTTGTGGCAGCCCCTGAGATATTGGAACACTGCTATCATGTCCCCCCTCATCCTTCTCTTCGTTAAACTAG